CGAAGCCGCGACCTCCAACCATGACCATCGATCGTTTACCATTAAAAATCTGTTAAAAAATTTAATTATGGTACGGAACCGAACAGAACCGAACCCGAACGGTTCCAAAATTATGTTTGGACCCAACGGTTCCATTTATTAAATACTCAAAAATTTTGGTTCGGTTCGGTTCTCTTCAGAACTGAACCGAATCGGATTATGTCCAGCCCTAGAATTTGTGTTGAACTTGAAGAAGACTTTGAAATGAAGAAAAATATCTTTAGGAGTATTTGGCACAGAGGTGGGATACCTAGGTGCAGGGTCACTACGGTTAGGCGTCGAGGTATAATATTGAACATAGGGAGCTGACACCGTAGTGCCCGTAATGCTATTTTTTTCTCCTATTCCGTTTTGTACTCTGCTTTTGTATTCTACTTTAACTACAACTCTATTATTAGGGTTTGGACGTTTCTTATTTGTTTCATATATATAGTTGGCTCTTCATTATGATTTAGTAGAAGTTAGAAACATTATAAATACAAATCTTTGTATTCTTTTTACATATTATAATAAAATCTCAATTCTCTATAAATTATTTTGTTCTTGTGTTTTTGTGACTTCATATTGTGGCTATAATCTTGTATTTTCTCCAACAATTTGGTATGGGATTAATTCGATATCATTTTCATTTTCATTTTCATTTCACAACATTTTCAAACTAATACCANCTTTGTATTTTCCTTTGCTCAGGTGTGACTCGAATTCTTTATTGAAGATAATTGAGAGCTCTAATTAAAGTGCACATTAAGAAAAATTCTATTTTGAATGCTATTGTGGAATCTTATTCAAATTTACTTGGCGAATTCTAGTTGAAGATCTACTTAGAAGCCTAGTTGGGAGTCGGAATTTGTTAGGGTTGGACAAAACTTCCGAACCGAACCGAATATAAACGAATTGAACTGAACCGAACCAAGTGGTTCTTCATAAGTTAAATACCCGAACGAGTATCTGAATCGAGAACCGACGTGTTCGGTTCGGTTCTCGATTCTAGACCCAGAACCGAATTTAAA